CCACTGCCACCTAATTAGTGGGAGCACTAATTAGTGCTCCCAAGCATTTTTCTATTTTAAAACATATATTTTTTAAAAAGTTAAAATTATTTTAAATATACATATTTTTTTCTATTCTTTCTACGAAAGTGATTGAGACCCCTTCCAATTATTACTCTCATCACCTCATACACACGTGAGAACTGGTGATTGGAAGAGAGAGAAAAAAAAAATTGGCCAATCACAGCCAGAGAGGTCGTGGGGGTGCCCTCCTATGGGGGTCCAAATCTTTTTTTTTTATCAAAAAGTTAAAAAGTGCACTTATATAGTTCATTCCAAACAATCTCAAGAGGATGTTTGACATATGCTAAATTAGTATATTTTTTAATTTTTTACGAAAAAATATAAAATATGAATTGAATTTGAAGTGATATGGTAAAGAGGTGATACGATTCAAATGAGATAATCGTGACCTAAATAAGATAATGTGTTAAAATTGCACATGCCAAACAGTGCCTAAGAGTTGTTTTGGAAAGTGCTAAATAAATTGATTTTTTTACTTATTACAAAAAATATAAAAAATAAAGAAATAAGTAAAATAAAAAAAAGAAAAAAAAAGAAGCCTAATTAGCATTTGGCTTGGAGTATAGGGTGAATGGGTCGAATTCAACCAAGCTATTTTGGGAAGATGGTTATAATTAATTTTTTGATAAAAAGTTACTTATAAACAGTTTATAAGTAACTTTTTTTGTGAGAGAGAAAGTGGGTTATAATCTGAGAAGCGGATTATAACCCACTTCTCAAAATAGGCCATTTATGAGAATTTTCAACGTGCATCATTTTAATGATGTATATTGTAAGAAATTTATGATTTTTTAGAATAAACACGATGAATGTTTATGGTGTATTATGTTATTTTGTGGTAAAAATATAAATAATAAATTTATGATATGTATTCTAAATTTACAAATAATTTTTGTTATAACATTTGTGATAAAAAAAAATTATGACATTTTGTACTTTATGTTACGAAATTTTATAATTCTTCATGAAAAAATTATGAAGAACATATCCAAGTCCACCTTTTTCGGATGCATAGTATCCTCTCCCAACCCAATTGTTTAAGGTTAATTTAGGAATGTAATATGCAACCTTGTATTTTTTTATAATACACCTAATTTTTAGTTTATCCCGCACGGACACTAATTAATTAAATATAGAATTATAAGCTAATTGACATACATAATCTCCGTTTGTGAAGTTGGTTGACTTTTTAATTTTTTGATTTTTTAAACTATTTTAGTCTGGGTTAAAAAGCTTGATTTGGAAAGAGTTTTTTGACTTTTTGACTTTTTTTATTTTTTTATGAGAGAAGAGTATAATGATTATAAGTTAGATGAGATGTTTTGTTTGTTAAGACTAAAATAATCTATTTTGTCTTTTGTGACTATTTTAACCCCAAAGTCACTTGCCAAACACCACCATACATACATAGGGAAATTTTTGGAGTGTTGCACTCCTAATCATGACATTCATGTTTGTTACGATTCATTATCATATTAGTTATGATTTAATAATTTTATATTATACATATGTGATATTTGATTATAACTTTTTTTTATTATTATTATAAGGAGTTTTTGAGAAAATAATTAAAAGTTATTTTTTGACTCTTTATTTTTTTAACTTTTTGTAAGAGAGGGAAATGTATTAAAAATTAAAAAGTGACTTTTAATCCACTTCAAAAAATAAGCCGAACTCTTATAATATTAAGTTATATTATTTATAATGAGCAAATTTATAAATAACATAATTTACATATAATATACACTCTTTAACCTAAACCATATATATAATTTATGATTAGATGAGGTGATATTCTATTATTTTTACATATAAGGGACAAACAGGAGTTTCTGTAAAACCACAATTCCGCTTCAGTTCATTGTATATAAGCAAACAACAATGATTCATCCCACTAAAAATATCACCACTAATAGCACTAATGCATTAAAAAAGTAAAAAAAAAAAAAAAAAAAAATCTCAAAGGTATAGGTGAAATTTTGAGCAGTTGTTTCAATCTTTTTCTTCCAAGAAAGAGAAACATAAATCCCAAAAAATTCATCCCTAATTTTGAACTCCACTATACAGATGGTAGGACGAGGTTTTTCTTGGTACTTTGCTGCCTAATTTAGAGGGAGATATAATTTGAAAGGGCAAGAAATAACTTTTGATGGGGCCTCTAATGATTCTCTTTTTGAATTTGTTGTTCATATTATGCATGTGTGAATGTGAACATTGATCTTTTGAGCCAAAGCCAATCAATTTCCACAAAAAGATAGGAGGGAAAATATACCTGAAGAAGCATGGAGCGAGCTGCTTTCGATTCATCATTGACATGGCTTCTAGTTTTTCTACCATTTAATGTCATAACTGATGGGCTATTAGCTGTTGTTATGTCCCAAAAACTGCGTTTCTTAGCTGTTGCTGCAGGAGATAGAAACCGTTGACTTGAGCTCTTCAATTCACCCTCAATTTTCTTCTTTGGCCGCAAACTTTCCCTTGTGACAACTCTCTTCATCATCCCCTCCTCCCCAGTCGCTGTTTTTGCACGCTTCAACGAAAGCTCAAGAATAAATTCATCCTTCTGCTTTATCTGCAATTCATAACCTTTCCTCATTTTCTCAATTTCTGCCTCCAAAGCCTTCACCGCCCGCTGAAGCTCCCCAACTGTCTTCGATTCTGGTGTGAAACAATTCCCAGCCAAGAAAGTTGATTTGGGTTTTAGTTTTTTGTTTGGTTGGGTAGAGAGTGGAGTAGATAAGTGAGAGGCAATAGAAGAAGGGGTTGGCGAGGCGTTTGCTGCCAATGATTGTGCCTGGATAGTTAGTATCTTCTGTTTTTGGCGAGCTAATTGTACACGTAGTTCACGATTCTCTTTCTGCAATTCGAGTAATAGCTTAGCCTGATCTGTTTCAGATTCGGGTACTTGCAGTATTTCTTCATTTGCATCGTATGCCTGTAATTCATAAGATGGGAGTGGAAATAATGTTTACTAAATCATACAGGATTTAAGTGGAAATTCAATGACAATGATGCAAAAGATTGAAGGCGGGCAAGAACGAGAATCTTAGAAGGTAAAGGTGAACCTTTGTTCGGATTTCCTTGGCTCGATCAGCCCAATGAAGGGTATTTTGCGTTTCACCAAACGAAAGATTGCTTGGACTGATATTGGCAATCATAACAGTGTTACAAGCTCCCCCTAGAGAGTCTTTAAGCAGTTGTGTGAGCTTGGAATTGCGGTATGGGACGTGTTTCTTGCCTTCTACAAGGGCATTGATGCAGCTGCTCAGTGCCAAGAGTGACCTATTTATGTTCGCACCTTCAAGTGATCGAAGCGTTCTTTGATCAGTAGCTAGAGCTCTTTCTGAACCTGCAAGATCGATAAGTGATAGCTTCCCTACTCGGTTGACAACATTGTTGGAAGCATCTTTAACTCGATATTCAACCACAACCTGATTTTAACATGGAAAAAAAGATTAAGAAAATAGCAGAAGAGTCCAGAAAGAGCAAAATAGTGTTTGCAAACTACCTGTAGAATAGCGTGGGAGCGTGAAGAAGTTTCGTTGACACGAGTTGGTTCAGTGGTTCGGTTTTGGTTTCCTTGTAAGAGCAAATCCATAACCTGTCACGGTGTAAACAAAATCAAAAAACTAATCTTCCAATCAGTGAAGTAAATATAACATTATATGCCATAGAGCAGGAGAGTAGGAAAATTACTTCGTCTGTGGAATAAGCTCTGTATTGAGTAAGACCATGTGCCACAATCCCCTGAAACATTTGAGATTTTTGTTCTTTCAATTATCACTCAAAAATGTAAATATCATAATCAAATTATGCACACTAAAAAACAAAAACAAAACAAAACAAAAATAAATAAAGTCCATAACTATCCATTTCATAGCCAAATTATGACAAATAAGATGAAGTCCATTGTCTGGTGCAAAAAATGAATTTGAAAGCAACAAAACCTAAGAGTGTTTCTTTATTTTTCATTTTTTTTTCTTCACCAAACTAGTTTTTGAAATTTTTTACAAAAAATAGATTTTGTAAACTTAACGAAACATAGAATTATTTCCTTGGAAACAAAACAACAGCTATTTTCTCCCTTGCTCTCGTCTTTAACTTCAAATCAACCAACTACTAACTATGAATGTCTCTCTCTGTTTGGTTAAGTTTTCAAAATCTGCCGTCTAAAATTTAAAAACTAGTTTGGTGAAAAAAATTAATTGTTGTTGTGAAATATTCAAGCTGACCTGTTTGTCTTCTCTGAGGACTAGTGGCCTTCCTGGAGAAAGCAAATCTCTAACAGTTTCGTTATAGACCTCAAGGTAGGATAGATGAACCTCATGATTACCGTCGCAGCTCCTCTGCCTAATCTTGTTGAAAAGATCCTTAATTGCCAAAACCATCACTCCTGGATTCTCCACCGTGCCCAACATAGTGTAAGTTTTTCCAGCTCCTGTGGCACCGTAGCAGAAAACTGACCCATTTCTCCCTTGTAAAACAGCTTCTACAAGCTCTGCAGTTCTGAAAAAAATCATCATGCATACCTCTTAAATTCCTCATTGTCTATCAAATAATCTCCAAAGGAAATTTTTTTAAAACACTAATTTCATAAACAATAAAGAATTTGAATTGTGTTCATTAGTTCAAGTACTTTAGGTTCAAAATTTATTAGTAAGTAACAGATACTTTCGACTACCAAGTAAGATATGTAACAGAGAAATTTGTATCCATTATCCTCTTACAACTTTGATCATAAATCATGCTTGAGTATGTCTGGAGGAAAAACAGTATATCACTATGGCTGTGTTTGGATCATGAATTTGACTATGGATTCAGAAATCAAAATAGAAATGGTGGGTGAAATGTGAATGAAATATAGCTATATTTCACCCACCTTTTCCTTTTCTCTTTCCAATTTCCTATGAAAATTCATGATCCAAACACAACCTAGATTGACAGAATTAGAGAATTGGAATACATGGCTTGTGTTGAAATCTGGAGAACATTAACATTGAGTTTCATAGACATTATGATTTACTTCAAAGGAAAATTGAATATAAGCATTGATTACTGCAAAATACTTGGCTATTCTATTGTTACCGTTACCTCCTCCTAATAGGAAGAAGACTCAGATTCTAATTCATTTCATTTTCCCTACCATTTTCTTTTCCCCCTACAAATCCTTTCACAAATCCAAACACACCCCTGGAGTAGAAGAATGACAAACGACTAGAAAGCATGAGGAGTAAAATGCTGAGTAACAATATTAGCACCAAATGTATGTAGCACAATATTTCTAAAAAAAAAATTGAAACCAGAGATGAACAATAGCAAATGAATGAATAAATGCAAATGAAATGCGGAGCTACAGAACCCGTAAGGATAGCCTTGTTGGTTGAGGGCAAGGGACGAGGAAGTTAGGAGTATGCTCCTCTCTAGGTCTAAAGTTCGAATCCCACCAGCTAGCTACTGGCAGGCCCCTGCGTCTTTGCCTGGTCGATCAGCTTAGAGCCTCGAGATTAGTAGAGGTGCGACACTCCGGAGGGGTGCTGACCCGAACACTTGGTCATCAAAAAAAAAAAATAACAAAGAAATGGGGAGCTATAGAAAGTATGAGCTATTATTACTCTAAAACACATAAGATTGCATTTGGATTATAGATTTGGATAGGGATCTGGAAATGAAAAGGAAAAAGGTGGGTGAATTAGAAAGGGAAACAACTCCAAATATCTATCCAAATCCATGATCTAAACACATCCTAAAGTAAGAGGGATGACAAACAACTTGAAAGAATAAATAGTAACAAAATGGTGAGTAAAAACATTAGCACCAAGTTTATGTAGAGCACAATCTTCCCTCAAAAACATAAAACTACAGAACGACACAAGCAAAGAAATGGATTAATGAAATTAAACAACAACATTTTAGTCTCTTTCTCTTCTGAATATAATTCAGCTTATGAATAACTAGAACAAAATAAAAAGATCAATTTTTTTTTTTATTTTTTCAAACTCACGTAGTTGAATAAACCTCCTGTTGAGTAGTTAAGTCTGGGAACGAGGCATCAAACGTGAAGTGTCTCCCCCGAAGCCTCTTAAGCCGGAGATAATCATTCTCTGTTGCGAATTCCGTCAAATAAACCTCCCTCCGGTTCACAATTCTGACGCAACTCCTCGACCCTCCTTCTTTCTCTCTCTTGGCCATAGGCCTAAGCCTCACAAACACAAGAATCCTACTACCCCCTGTGCTCTGTTTCTCCAAAATCGCCTGCAATTCATTCACATTTTGGGTCCCTGCGACCCCTCTGGGATCAGATTGGGGTAAAACAGAGCTCCCAATTGAGAGCTTCCTCACAGCCGTGGTCGAAACAGGGGACTTTCTTGGGCAAGAAAACCCGACAATACCATCACCATTAGCCGCTGGTATGTTCTCCTTTTCTTCATCAATTGGAGGCTGTGGCAACACAAATGCTCTTGTGACTGTTGAATTGGGCATTGCGTTCTCTTTCATCACATTGCTCTGGTTCAATTCATTTGCTTCCTTCTTGAGACTTACAGAGGATTTTTTTTGCTGCTCATACAAGAGAGTTAACGCTTTCATCTTCTCTTTCAATCCATGGTGTGGATTTCTCAGTGGGTGATCTTCCCTCTGGTCTTGGTTGGACTCATTCTGTTCTGGGTTGGTGTTGATCTGAGACCTAGTTGACACAGGCATTCTATTGAAATCTCACTATCCAAACATGCTGTTTGTTGTGATTTTCTTGAAGACCCAGTTGCTGGAACTGATTGGATTGTAGACAAGTTCAAAAACTTTCCCGGAAAATGCAAGAATCTGGGTAGAAAATCAATACAGCAGACTGTGATAGTGTGTAGCAGAGGAAGCTGAACAAAGCTTAAACAGTTGAACAAACAGTGAAAAAATGGAAAGGGAGAGAAGGGGGGAAAGATCAAAGATTGTGTGTGATTTGGGGATGGATTTGAACCGTTGATTTGAATAAAATGGACGGTTGGTAAAGCAGAAAGGCAAGTATTTGAGCACTCCATTTCTTGCTCTTTGTACCCCACCCACTTTGCATATTCTATGTTCAAGATAATCCATAATGGACTGCTCAGCATAAATTTTGGAGTGCCATTAGTGGTTGACTTTTCAAAATTTTGAATACCGTTTGTAACGGTCAAAATGTTCCAGATCCCAAACGGTCAGTTACCGAGAAAAAAGGGTCCCATTTTAAATAATGCCAGATATGGTGCACCTGAGTTACATCATCGTCCGTGAACACCAAGCATTTGACCATGGATCACATGGTTTTAGGCACCATATGCGAGATGCTCAACTATATCAATGGCCTAGATTAGGCTTGTTTTTGGAAATATGATTAACAGTAATTTTTTAATCTTTTTTTATTTTATTATATTTTATTTCTATTTTTTATACGTCTTTTTAAGAAAAATTAAAAAAAAGAAGACTGATTAAGATCCCCTTAAAACTCTCACCCCTACCACCCCACACACATGTGGGGGTTGGGGATTGGGAGAGAAGAAAAAAAAAAAAAATGGACCAATCAAAAGCAAAAGGGGTCAAAGGGGTGAAGGGAAAGGGGGTTTTAAACATTTTTGTAAAGAAAAATCAAAAAAAATAATTTTTAACTTACTTTTCAAAACAAGTCTTATCTTTTAATCAGATAATGGATGATGTTAAGAATCTTTTATCTTAAGCCTCATTTTTAAAGTCTTTTTTTTTTTAATTTTTAAATTTGTGTCCAATTTTTTTATTTTTTCAATTTATCTAGAAGAATTTAAAAAATAAAAAATGTAAATATAAATTATGCTAATACAAAAATTAAATTAAATTAAATCAGAAAAAAAATATTTTTGACTTTTTTTTTTGTAAAATCTTTAGTAAACTTTCTTATCATTTTTTTTATTTTTTAGACTTTGGTTGTTCATCTAATCAAGTAAGGAAAATTTACTTTTAAATCTTATATTGAGAAATGGTGATCCGTTTAATTCCAAAAATTTTCTTATAAACCAATTAGTCGCATTGATTTTGGAAAAATAGATCTAATATATTAATACCCTTATTTTTGTTATGTTTCCTTCTTTCTTTATTTCTTCCTTCTTCTTTTGTGCTAGAAATGTAAGATACACAACTGTGGAGATATATTTTCTGAGTACCAGCACGTGGCCAAGGTGACGCCGACGTGTTAGTCGAGGTGCCACGTGTCCTGGTCATGATGCCGAGGTTATCTCCGAAAATATCGGAATCCGAGATAAGCGGATAAGGTACAAAGAGTTCTAGAATGAGGAAGGACTTCAGCATGGATAAGGATAATACTCTTAAGGAGTTTATCTTTATCTCTTGGAGAGTCCAGGATAAGCACTAAGCAGAAATCCATTGAAGTCAGGCTTCTATGGAGACTAGGATTAAGTTCACTATAAAAGAAAGGCACCCCCAATGGGTCTAAGGTACGCAATTTATACTCAGAACAGTGAGTTTAGCAATTGAATATCTTTGAGAGATATATTGACTTGATCGTCGGAGTGTCCCCGGGTGGACAAACCACCGCCGGAATCTTCTCTTTCTGTTGCAGGTCAGCCAGGTGTCATCTATTCTGCCAGTACTCTCCAGCTGAATACTAAGTTGGCAGTGTGATCAGAAATTCACTCACACAATTTGGTGCCGTTTGTGGGAAAGAAAAGAGAATAAATGGCCAGTGACGGACATAACGATAAGGTTGGGGACGAAATCCTTGCTAGGAGTGGTAAACACGTTGACCCAAACATGGAGGAAGATGGTTGCAATAAGGAGACTCAGAACCAGAATCGCGGCAAGAAAGACGTCGGCTAGGATGGCGACGTGCCAAAAAAACCAGATCGAAGCGGATACTACAACGAGGACGACCTCCAGGTATGGAAGGATAGATGCCTGCGAAGGGACGAAGAGGTGAAAGAGATGGAAAACAAGTTGGCAGACCTGCAATCGGTCGTCAATTTTATGATGCAAAATAACGTCATGCAGCCACCATTCTCGCTGCTGGACACGTCGATTCCAGCGGCCAATGCCCAAAAGGGAGGGCAGAAACCAATCCCAATAGTCCCTCAGCACACCAGAAGCGAAAAAACACTCTCACCGGCTTTCCAGGGAGGTCGGGCGAGGAGAATCGAGGAGAGAAGAGTCACGAAGGACACATCGCACTAAAAAAGCAGACCCCAGGGAACATCGGCATGTTCAAAGGCAGGAACTGTGCTTCGACACAACTCATGAAGAAAGGTCGAAAAGGGCCTACAACGAAGCTGAGAGTAGTATGCCGAAAATACTGAAGTCGGGAGATAGCCGAGCTCCTGGGCGGAGCAAGGAAGACTTGAGAGATTACCTCAAGAGGAAACAACATAATGTCGATGCCGAAGTAACTTCACCTGTTAAGCCGAGAACATCATTCTCGGTAGAATTTGACAAATTTGAGGCTCCAAAGAGATTCAGTATGCCGAGGTTCCAAATATACGATAGTAAGTCAGATCCCAACTTCCACGTTGGATTATACCTGAACTCGATGGCATTGTGCAGTGGGAACGAGCCGTTGCTCTGCAAAGTGTTCCCCTCATCCTTCGGGGAGATTCCCTCATCCTTCGGGGAGGTTGCATCAGATTGGTTCAACAAACTGCCGAAGGGAAGTGTGAAGACCTAGGAAGGCCTGGCCGAGATGTTTGTGGCCAAGTTCGTAACAAACAAGCTACAACCATTAAGGGTGGACGCATTGATGGCTTAGAGAATTAGTAAGGATGAAGGCCTTAGGGCCTACGCAAAAAAGTATTACGAGGTGTTCAACCGAATACCTGAGTGCAATCAAGAGGTGGCAGTCGTATCTTTCAAGAACGGCTTAAAAGACAACTGTCCACTACGAAAATCTTTGGCAAAGACATTGCCAAAAAGCATAGAAGAGCTCATAGCGAGAATCAAGAAGCATGCCAGAGCCAAGGAAGATACATCGGGGACTAAGGAGACAAAGCAAGAAAAAGGAAACGGCTAGCTGAAGCGAAACCGAGGTAACAATGGATCCAGCAAGCAAGAGATAGGACAAAGGGCTACGCAGGCAGTTACGACTGTGTTCCGAATCCAAATTCACAAAGTCCTGGATAAATTCGGAACCAACCCTATTTCAGAGCACCAGCGAGGGCACCAGGAGAATTTATGGGAAGAAACCTTGGCAAGCGTTGTGCTTACCACAATGAAAACGGGCATATGACTCAAGATTGCAGAGCCCTAAAAGCACACTTGGAAGACTTGGTGAGGCAAGGCCATCTGCGAGACCTTGTCGATGAGGCCAGGACAAGGGAAGATCAAGCAAGACTGCCACAGGCACCAGCAGCCCCGCCTCCCCAAGCACAACAACCTCAGGCAGGAGAACCTCGGGTAATTAATGTAATTCACTCAAAGGTCAACAAGAACGAAATTAGGGGGGAGACTCAGAAGGTAAAGCACTTGCAGCATGTCTACCAGGTCGGGGAGAAGCGACATCGGCAGAAGAGTGCCAAGGACTAGTAGTGTCCTTTACAGAAGCCGACCTTGAGATGATGCAGCATCCACATAACGATGCCTTGGTAGTATCCCTCCAGGTTGGGGGAGTGCCAAGTGAAGCGCATCTTAATTGACCAAGGCAACTCTTGTGACATCATGTACGTCAGGTGTTACAAGGAGTTTGGCCTTCATCTAGATGATATGGAGCAATCCAATGGGCCAATGGTTGGGTTCAATGGAACGCCGATATGGTCACTGGGAACAACGAGCTTATAGGTACAGGCAGGCACCAGGAAAATAATGACAGAATTCACCATAATCGACACACCCTCCCTATGTAATGCAATCTTGGGAAGACCATGGCTGCACGCCATGAGGGCTGTTCCCTCAATATTGCATCAACTGTTGTGGTTCCCAACAGAACATGGGATGGAGGAGGTCAGAGGAGATCAGCTGCAGGCAAAGAATTGCTCTATAGTAACAATGAAATCCACCAGCAGCATACGAGAACCAGAGAAGGCAGAGATCGAAGACAAAGACGTGGAGGTCTTAGAGGATGTCGCTAAGGAGCCAGCCGAGAAGAGTGAAGAAGCACTGAAGAAAATCCTCGTCCAGGAGGAGGATGAAGAACGCTTCTTTCTTCTCGGCTCAGGCTTAGCTGAAGAAAAAGAAAAAGAAAAAGAGTTGGAGGCTTTCTTGAGAACAAACATCGAGGTGTTTGCCTGAACGCCTTACGAAATGCCTGGCATTGACTCCGATGTCATTTGCCATAAACTAAACATTGACAGGTCGGCCAACCTGTAATCCAACGAGCAAGAAGACCGACATTGATGCACGTCGAGGTAGTGGAGGAGGAAGTAGACAGACTTCTAGAGGCCAGGGCTGTCAAACACAGTGGTGGTGAAGAAAAAGAATGGTAAATGGAGGGTCGGCGTAGACTTTACCAGCCTAAACAAGGCTTGTCCCAAAGATAGTTTTCCTCTACCCAAGATTGACCAGCTGGTGGATGCCACTTCAGGGCATGGAAGAATGAGCTTCCTGGATGCCTACAGGGGGTACCACCAGATAGCCATGTACCCCCCAGATGAAGAGAAGACTGCGTTTATCACCTTAAAAGGGTTGTATTGCTACAAAGTGATGCCTTTTGGGTTGAAAAATGCAGGAGCAACTTACCAAAGATTGGTAACCAAGATGTTCAGACATCTGATCGGCTGAATGGTGGAAGTCTACATTGACTATATGGTCGTGAAGACCAAGGAGCCTGAAGGTCATCTGGCCGACCTAAAAACAGTATTTGAAATCCTTAAAACATATTGGCTCTGACTCAATGCATCGAAGTGTGCATTTGGAGTTGGATCTGGTAAGTTCTTAGGGTACTTGGTGACCAGAAGGGGCATTGAGGCCAGCCCAGATCAAATCAAGGCCATCCTGGAGTTGAAG